ATTACCTCTGGAGCTTTCTGTTTATTTTCTTTATTACTTAACTAATGAAAATAATATATTAAAACATTGGAGAGTTGTGGTAACTTTTCATTTTCTTTTAATAAAAAAATTCATAGATTTTTCCAAAAAAGGTTCCCTAACTTCTCGCTATTGCATTTCTTAATACCATGAGTAACAGTTAATTGATTTTTTTAACCAACATATTTGTAACATTTTAATTTTTAACACTTATTCTCCTACTACAAGACACTGTGCAAAAATATTCAACGTTCTTTTTGTTTTTGTTGCAGTCCAACAATAATCAATCTCTCTTTTCCTTTCATTTCGCTCATTTGCAGGTCTATTTGCTGTGCTTTGTGTGCAAAACGTTTTACTATTGCTTTGCTTATTTGTTTTACTAATTTCGCTGACACAAATACACAGGGAAATATAGATATACCCATATTATATATTTATATGTTCAGATGTTACCTACATACGTTTAAAAGTTGCCAGTGAAACCAAAAATATTGATTACTTTTTAATATTTTTTCTCCCTTCTTCTCTCAACTATTGCTGCACACCTATTAGCTTTAATATTTCACCGCGAATATATTACTATTATTTGGTGAATTATTGAAATTTAATGAGTAAAATTAAATATGATTTTTTTGGTTGAAATATGTAGTTGAAAAGAATATATATGTGAACATTTTTCTTGACTCCAGAAATTGAAAATAATGGCAACTCTAATAACTGTTAGTGAAGTGCACTAAATACTGTGACACTTATTTCGTAGGAGGTGATGATGGCTTTGGGGCGCTTAGCTAGCCGCGTTATTGTACTTTTAACCCAATCAAGGCCAGAGGGCCTCGCTAGTGGCTTGCGCTTATAATTGCACAGACTTGTAGGCGCTTAAAGTGCTGTTAGTAATGCAAATATAGTAGATGCGTATGTATGTATGTAGGTATATAATAATAGAGACATGCACGCCCCAATCTATTTATTTGTATGCAAAAGTATGTGTGTATGTGTGTCAAAGTTCAATTGATTTTTTTCTGTTTGTTTGCTCTGGCACCTTCACCTTTAGTTTAAGGTGGAATTAAAAGTAAAATTGGGAATTTATAGCATTAACGGCAAATAAATATTAACACACGCCCACTCAGGCATGTACACACATACATACATACATATATGAATATATATATTCACTATTATAGACAAATCAGTTGTCCTTGAGCGATGAAAGCATAGAATATAATATGTTATTGTCTGTTATTTATGTGCATATACAAAAATATGTATATATATACGTACATATATATTTATTTTAGCATTTGTGAGTTTTATGAAAGTAAGACAACGAAGTTTCGGTACATTTGAGGGCTTTGTGTAGACATATCTATATACATATTCTTCTCTATATTTTTTTTACGTCGATAATTGATGAGCGCCCAATCCCGTCTAATATTGAATATAATTTGCTTTGACATTTCCAATAGAAATTCAAACAGCAGCAGCAGTGGCGCTAGCATTTGTAAATGACAGTCATAGACAGATTACTAATCACCCCAATACGCAAACGATGATTGAAATATTGCGCAGATAAAGGCGCAATAAGACGTAGCAAAATATAAGAGGAAAGAGAAAAGCGAAGAAAGAAAGAAAGCTCTTGGCAAAAAGATAAAAAACATTTGAAATGCAAAAAAGTGCTATAAGTAATACCGCTATTAACAGCACATCTCCATTACATCCCATAGCTTTGCCAACAACTATGTAGGCACGCTTATACATACATAAATATACGTGCTCGTGTTAATTTGTGTATCACTAAGGTGATGGTAAATGCCAAGGCAAGCAGCTTAAAATCGATTAGCATCAATTTCCTGTCATCGGCAGACACAGTACACTCGTGTATATGTATATACGTGTATATACAGTAGTGTATGCATAGAACGTTTGGTGGACTTTTCAGAGTCACCAACGGACGTTGAGTAAGTTTTTATGCATGAGGGTATGTTAGTATGTAGTGTTGGTGAAGGCGCTTATGCCTTTTGTCTTAACTCGCCTCCAAGTTGTGGCAGGCAGGAAGTTATATAAAAGCACATACTCGTATGTACATCCGCATCTACGGCCGTTCGAGCGCTTCAATTGACCACTTTACCTTCGGCACAAATGCACACATATGTATACATATTTCGTATCTATGCATACAGATATGAGTTTATGGCGTTCGCTCGTGAATATTCAGTGGCCTACACTCATTTATGTGTATATACTCGTAGATACATATTGTTTATATATATGCAAGTTTGCACCACTTCTACATAAGCTGCTGCATTAAATCGTTGCAATTAATTGTGGGCGTCGCTGGTGAGTTTGTAAAATGGCTTGTGTGGTTTTAATTAAATTTAAGCCGCTTTTGTATGTGAAGCTCAGTTAAGTACATACAACACGCTAACATTGGTATAAATATATATCAGCTTTTGTATGTATGTATATATATAGTTCGTAGACAGGTGGAGCGCGGGGAGACGAAAGATTAAGAAAAAGATGAGATTTATAAAATTCAAATTTGATAAAAATATGCCAAATGCAGATGCATATCCTATTGCACTCTTCGAAGATTTCACAAAATTTAGCCATTCTATTTCACCATGTTTTGTTTTAATTCAATTTGTTTTTCTATTTAATTTTATAATTATCAATGTTATATAATTTTTAAATTTTTAAATTACCATTTTTACTTTGCTTTGTTAAATTTAATTTAATTTTAATAAATTTTTTTTACTTTATAATTTTGTAATCATTTTGTTTCACTTTATTAAGTTTTTAATTTTTTTAATAAATTATTTTTTTTAAGTATTTTATTCTGATATTGTTTTATTTATTTTTTTTAATTAATTTTATTTAGTTTTAGTTTATATAATTTTTTTTTATAGATTTCATTTCCATCGCTTATTCAAAGATTTTACTAAATTGAATCATTTTATTTAAACATGTTTTGTTTAAATTTATTTCGTTTTTCTATTTAATATTATTATTTTCAATATATATAATTATTAATTTTTAAATTATCATTTTTACTTTACTTTGTTAAATCTAATTTTAATTAATTTTTTTGTTTTATGTATTTGTAATTCTTTTATTTAACTTTATTCAGTTTTTAATTTCTTTTAAGTATTTTATTTTGATTCTATCTCATTTTTTTATATTTAATTAATAAAATTTAGTTTTAGTTTATGTACTTTTTTTAATTTCATTAAATATAGTCTAAATTGAATTTTTCATTTTGTTTTTTTGTTGCAATTATTTATTTTACTTTATATTTTTTTATTTTTTTAAATAATATGCCTTTTTAATTTATTTTATTTTGATTTTATTTAATTTTTTGTTTTATTTCAATACTTTAATTTAGTTTTATTTATATATATATATTTGTATAACATTATTTCACTTATTTTATTTCTATGAATTAATTTTATTTGCAATTTTTATTTTGTTTTAAATTATATTTCGGTAATTACTTTTATTTACTTTATTAAATTCAGTGTTTTTTTAAATTATTTTTTTTTTTAATGTGTTTTATTTTGATTTTATTTTAATTTGGGCTTAGTTTATTTTTTATTTTATTTTCTTTTATTTTATTTTAATTTAATTTATTTTGTATTTTATTTTATTTTATATTATTTTGTTTTTTCATTGTATTTTATTTTTATTTTAATTCATTGTATTTTATTCAATTATACATGATTCTGTTTTTCTTTCTAATTTTCGATAGTTTTTTATTTTATTTTTTATATAAATGCAATATAATTTTTTTACTTTAATGTTTTAATGTATCTTTTTTAAGTTTAATTGAATCTAAAACTTAGATTTTATTTTATTAAGTTGAATTAATTAATTTATTTTTTACATTGTTTAATTATATTCATTATATGTATTTTACATATTTTATTTACTTAATTTTTTTATCAATTTTATTTTGTTTTACTTTTCTGTCAATTTATCTTTTTATTGTTTTTTTTATTTTTGAGTTTAATTTAGTTTAATTTTTTCACTAATTTAATAGTAATTCTTTAAATTTGTTTCAATTAAAATTTGTAGTTTATTTGATTTATTTTTATTTTTTTTTTTTTTAACATGGGTATTATATATATTTCTAAATGAATTTGGGTGTAGATTATTATTCATATTATTTGATTTTGCTTTATTATATTTAATTTGATTTTATAAATTAATATACTAAATAAATGTGATTAAAAGGTGGAATAAAATTCTTATTTATATATTAAAACTGAAGAAACACTATCATAGATTATTATATATTATATATCTAATTATTGTTTTCATTATTAATATACGTAATTTTTCACTTTTTCGCTTTCGGGTTTCGTTTTTAATTTTCCGTATCTCAAAGACATGTTTCGATTTTCCCATTTGTTTATAAATACATGCCTTAGGCTGTTTAATACACACATCTATTTAATACAATACAGATCAAACGTGAATATATCAAACATTAAGCCATTATCACATAGGTGTACGTGTATGTACGTTTTGCTACAATTGCAGTATATTTCAGTGGCATCTATCTGGTGGGGTGAAAGGGTACAAGCTCGCTGGGTTGTGTTATTCTCTAATTAATTTTGTTCTTATTCTAATGTCTAATGTGTTTACTTGATAAAAATTAAGCCAATTTATTAAAACAAAAGTTAAAAAAAAATATTCTTCTGATAAAAGCCAAATTTATTAATTGAAATAAGGTTTTTTTGTTGTTGTTAAGGTGTTTTCAGTTAAGCGCAGGGTTTCTATTAGTAAAAGCAATACAACTAGTTTAAATTTAATAAATTTACTAATATCTATAATCATAAGTATAATTGAATATTTATAATAATGTTAGTAATTATATTTGTTTTGAATTAAAATTTTTTTAGTACGAATTTTTACTTTGAAATGAACTAATTGTAAGAAGAAGAAGAAAAATTAAGTGAATACTGAATAAATGATGAGAGACTAACTTTGATGCTAAATTTGCGTGTCTGAATTTTGACCCTCTGATCAATCCAGCTCGGACGACGACCACTTTGACTTTGGATGGATGGCTTTATGTATTACAACGTATGTGAACGATAGCGGTAAACGGTAACGATTGAACGGTAAACAGTTGTTGTACATATAAGAATCGGAATGCAAATTATTTCATTCAATTTGTACGAATCGGTAGGTAAGAGTTTGGCAATTGAGTTGGTAGTTATGAGTATTAGAAGAAAAGAAATTTTTCGAAAATTCTTATTTAATAAAATCAGACTTTTGTTTTGTTTTAGTTTAAGGTTTTTTTCATTAATGACTTAATAATATGTTGTTGCTGTAGTAGTATGTGAAATATTTGAATATGTATGTAAATACATATTTAAAACATATATAAAATATTATTATTATTACAGTATACATAAGAACTAACAGTACATATAAGAAAGTCTAATAGAGAGAGAGAGAGAGAGAGCGAAGAGAATTATAATAGATATTTTGTATAGCATACAAGAGAGAAACATATAAAGAAGAAGGAATTAGATAATTTAGGAAGAGTTTAAAAAATTTAACAGTTTAGCGTAAAATTTAGCCAGTATTTGGAATTTCGGATAAAAGAGGTCCACCATAGAGAAAAGACAACACAACAAAAATTTCGATAAATTTATAAATATGCTTTGCTTTACAAAAAAAAAAAATAATAATAAAATTAAATTAAAAAAAAAATTGAATAAATAACATTAATAAAATTGATAAAGAAAAATTAAATAAATAAATAATATAATAAATAAAATAATTTAAATTCAATAAAAATTATATAAAAATAAAAAAATTAAGTAAATAAAATAAAATGAAATGAATAAAATAATATAGAATAAATTAAAAAAAAAAATATAAAATAAATTAAAATAAAACAAAAAACAGAAAAAAATTAAATAATATAAAATAAAACAACTTACAATAAGTATAAAATAAAATAAATAAAGCCAAATAGGAAAAATAAAATAAATGAAAATAAAGCCAAAAAAAAAGAAAACAAAAAAAAATTTGAAAACATTAAATGAAAGAAAAAAATAAAATAAAAAATAAAATAGAGTAAAATAATATAAATAAAACAAAATGAAATAAAGTACATATATATATATAAAACGAAGAAAATAAAATAAAGTAAAGCACATGAAATAAAAAAAAAAAAAAAAAATAATATAAATAAAAGTCAACAAAATGAAATAAATTAAAAAATTAAATAAAATAATTGAAATAAAAAAAAAAACAAAAAAAATTAAAAAAACATAAAGTTAAAGAAAAAGGAAAGAAAATAAATAAAATAATATAATATAAAAAAATTAATAAACTAAAGAAAAATAAAATAAAGAAATTAAAATAAAATAATATAAAATAAAACAAAATAAAATAAAGTAAATAAAGTGTAATAAATAAAATAAAATGAATTATAGTGAAAAAAAAATGAAATAAAATAAAAAAAGTTAAAATAATACAAAAAAATAAGTGATATAATATAAGATAAAAAAAGAAAATGAAAAAAATAAAATCAAATAAAATAAAAATAACATACAATTCAATACAACGAAATAATATAAAATATAATATATTAAAATAAAGTATCATAAATAGAAAATGATGTAAAAGAGTAGGTGAAATAAAATTAATTATATAAAAATAAAGTAAAATAAAATAATATAATAATTAGTGAAGTAAAACAATTAAATTAAAATTAAAGAAAATAAGAAATGGGAAATTAAAATATACAATTTTATTATTTTAATTTTTAAATTAATTGAAAGCAAAAAAATACAAAAAAAACACGTTTGACTTAATTAAATTGCTTTTGGAACAAAAAATTTAAGCTCTCTAATTTTTTTGAAATTTCTATTAGCTGTTTTATTTAAAATATCAGTGCTCATAAATCTATAAATCTTTAAGGCTTTGCTGTGAGATGTTTAAGGTTTAACCGGTTACTAAGCGCCAATTATATATGCTATGTTTTATATATTTATATAAAAATTTCAAACTAAGAATTTCAAAAACTGAAACAAGCTGATTTGTGACCACTGATATTTTCCCAAGGTACAAAAAAGTTATAGTGATGTAGTGAAAGTGACACTGAAGCATTAATTTTTCCATATTAAAGGCAAAGCAAATGCTGTCTGGTTTTACCAAATAAATGATGGCTAAATATCCGTTTGTATGGAAAATGGAAACTTAGATGTTATACAGAACGTAAATATGTATACTATATACAAGCATATTGAATTCGAAGTTTGAAAATTATGAAACATTGATTTCTTCGAACACAGCTGAAATATAATAAGTAATTTTCATAGTTTATAGATTTACTTAAGTTTCAAATTATAACTTCAAATCAGTCAATATGCTTGATAGTTGTAAAAATAATATATAACTTAAGCGCTGTATTGCTATGAGAGCGAACAGTTTTTTTTGAAATTTTTTTTTAACGTAAATGAGTGGATTTAGGCTTTTAGAGCTTTTAAGCTTAAAATAGATTAGTAGAAACTTTTTAATATTTTTTGTACCATTTTTAATAGTCACACAACAATCGTTGCAATAGAAGTACATAAAACATAAATACGAAAATTTATCAAAAATTTTATAAACATACTTCTTACTCCTAATAGTAAACACTTATTAAGGGGAATCACTAAGAGAAAATCAATCATTTAACAAAAATGACTAGTTTCAGTTAAAACGCACACAAAAATGGAAATATTTTATAAAAAAATATTGAAGAAATTTTAACTAAAGCAAAAACAAACAAATTCAAAATCACTAAAATTTCCAATAAAAGCATAACTAGATACTAGAAAAAAATTAGTGTTTGCAAATTGTCTTCAAGTGTTGTTGTTGATTTTGTTTAATTTAATATTTAATTTGATATTAGTATGATTTTACAATATTTTTTTTCTCAGTAACTGTATATTTGTGCATGAAGGTGAAATTGAAATTGTTTTTACGACTTTATGCCAGAATAGTGCACTATTTTGCCCTCCCATTTTTAATACTCTCCCATTTGACTGCTCTCAACATGTCAGTGAAGCTAATTAACGTTATAATCGTCCCGCTGACTTAATGTGCAAAGAGATTAAAGTACACTCGAGTGCCAAATACACAAACACACACATGTTTGTAGATAGATATGCGCACTTCAAGTACTCCATTTAATAAACGTGCATGTATGTATGCATGTGCCACACATAGTTGCAACTGACTGCAAACTTGCCGCAAGTCAACTAAATACCAGAAAGTAAGACCCAATGTCTATATAGATAAAGGCAACTGAGATAAAGCATATGTGGGGATGTGTGTGTGTGTGTGTGAGGGAGATCATACCGCACACGTTAGTCTCGTGCTAATTTTATGCTGATGGTGTAATTAACGAAATTGTGGTAGCTAAGCAGTAAGTGTTTCCACTTGAGTCGGTTTTCATCAACAGAGAAATGCAATGAAATCTTTATGGGCAAGGTATATGGTATAACTGTATATATTGTATGTTGTCTATACTGAAATATATAAACTCTTGCAATGAACCAAAATGGTTACTTCAAGTGAAAGTGCGAAAATTGGCAACGTTGCATGTGACATCGAACGTTAAATAACAGTTTTATTGATGTTGAATTGTAGTAAATTTTAAAATAATTCAAATTAATGATTATGCCACTTTAGATTCCAGCGACTTAGGGCTTTTGAAGAGCTGTATTAGGAAATTGGCGTAAAATTTGGGAAATCTGCTTCAATAGTAATATCTTTTTACGACCCGCTCAAACAATCAACGGGAGTACTCATTTTAAAGCTATTCCTCTAGCTGTGTTAGTTTTCACAAATCAGAGAATACACGAGACGAGAAGAATCGAAGAATGTAAATGTAAGTAGGCGGACGATATGTCTTCAGTTTACTAGAATCGACTTGAATATTGGCTCTGCGAGACAACAAAATGTATAACTCTTCGACTCGCACTATTGCTCTATGAGAAAGCACTCATCAGCAACTCGGGGGACGGCACTTCAAGCCACACGAAACTTTTGATTTCGGCTATTTTGAAAAAGGAGCAGGTGCGATATGGATATTCGAATCGCAGTGGAGAGAAAAAGGGTTGCAACCAATAGAAACACGCTTATGCATGGGATACACGATTGCTGACAGAATAAGAAATAAGTATAAAAGCGTAAATATGAAGAGCTTGGAAAGCTAATCAAAAACTCTATGAAAAGAACGGTAAGCTATAGAAGGTTTCAAAAGCGGGTCACACTCATGTAGTTCTCAATGCAGAGATTTAGGGACTGATATTCAGACTATACAGAGTTAGCATATGGAACACTTGTCCAGCCTGGTGAATCACATTCATATACTACGTTTATGCTTCATTTATAATCGGTTTTTTCTGCTGGGGTAGATAAAACTCGCAAGCATAAACACTTTTTCACCACGAGTTAAGGCGTCTACTCTACATATATAGAAGCATTAACTCGGCAGCATATACGCGGGTTGAGTTGATACCAGCTGATTTTTTTGTGCCGGTTCTATATATGTATATAAATAATTAAAAAAAAATGGAAGACAGTAAACGTAACATTTGAGAGAGAAATCGTTATTTTAAATGACTGATATTAATTCCATTCTGAATCGAGCGACTCTTAAGCGACTGTAATGAAATCCGCAACAGCGATCGGCCGCCTGAAGAGCAACAAAACTGCGTAAGCCAATGGCTTACCAGTTGAGCTATAACAGTGCAGTACTGACATAGCGAATGCATCAGATTCTTTGCAAAATATGGACGGATGAAAACATGACCGTTAATTAGAATCTAAGTGTGCTCTGTCCAATCCGGAGATCCAATAGAATGAGTCTATTACGTGAGAGATTAAAGTTCATCATAACAAACTGTTTGAACCACATTAAACCATATTAGCCTTGCTTCAGAACAGAAAAATCTATATTTTACCACCTTGGCGCATGGTCTTAAAAATAAATGGGAGAGTAGGATCGAAACACACTATCTCTTGGTTTTGGTTATCCGCGAAACTTATACGGTTGTGTACACTG